GTAGCAGCTGCATCACAGCTGAGCAGAAGGTGGTGATGAATCAAGCTTTGTCTTTGTGAAATACATTACTGGAAAGTTATAGTTATTTTTCAATGAGTCTAACATCCTGTGTGTGTGTCCAGCAATATTATCTGATACATTATTAAGAACTTGTTACTCCCTAACATCATTATCGACCCCAAAAACCGGTATCTGTCAGGCTCAACTCCTCACCTAGAATGTTTTAAGTAACTCACATAAGCAGATGATTATTTAAATGAAGAATTTTCAATCTGTCGATTCAGTAGCCAAGTTCTGTTGCGGTTTAATTGATGCTTGGTGTTTTTGTTGTGCGTAGAGGTCAGTTTTCATAATAATAGTACATGAGGATGACATCAGCCTGTAATACCGCATGTAATTGTAGTCATTTTTTTAATCAAAATGTTTTTTTATTGCTTTTCTGTTGGCTCAACTGAGGTCTTTTTTTTTTTTTTTTTTTTTTGGCTAATTATTTTATTTTATCTCCCATCTGCGCAGTTTGCAACTGAACGTGAACTCTAGTTTAATGGAGCTCTGACTCCCAGCTGTTTCTCTGGTTTCACAGCTAATTCAGAGTTTCACAATCTGAACGGTGCTGTTGCTTGAGATGATTTGTAGGTCTAAGAGGGTTTGGACTGCGTTAGTAACTGCAGTGACATCAGTATTTAAATCACTCTCTCTATTTGCATCACTGAAACGGTTCTTGAAATAACAAGGCTTTAAACTTTATTGCTCTTGGGTTCATTGGTATGACTAAATGGTGATTAAAAAGAAATCCGAATGCATCACATTGTTAAATGTTAACAGAAATGTCTCGTAATCCCACGGTGATCTCTTCAGTGTAATCAACACATCGTCTTCTTTCTGTCTCTTGCCAACAATGAGACTTCACGTGTCAACCTGCAGGCATTCAGTGTGTTTTGTTGAAGGGCTACCTGCATGCAAACATTACACAATACAGCATTAAAAACAGAAGTTATGTCCGTAACAGAAATCCACCTGTGCAACTACATGCAAGCTGCCCGGTGTTATCAGAGTTCAGCTGTATATAGTTTGTATAAATTCCTGTGGTGAAAGTCTGCGTGTTAAGACATGTGCTGCAGGCTGATAAGAAAATAGAGCCAACGTCTGTGTTGCTTTGTTGCACAATTGCAAAACATCTGAGGTGACTTTTAAAAGCCACAGTAATGGACCACCCGGCACAATGTGAGCTGAGGAGAATTCACAACACGATTAGTCCCAATCAAATTCACACCCTATTAAACATTTAGTTTTGTTTAGTGTGTAGAAAGAGAAATGGAATTTGTAGCAGTGGTCCATCCTTAAATGTTTATCCTACTGTGAGGAAGTGAGAGTCAACTGACTCTACTGTGGGCTTGATTGAAATCTTCTGTCATTCAGCACTGATCAAAACATGGCCATTAAAGTGATGTGTTTTGTAAAGTGGACCCGTAAACAGTACACTAGGACATTATCAGCTACACCTAAGTTCACATAGGTGGGGTTGCGTGCACATCCAGTCAGACACAGAACAGCATCTACATTTGTTTGGAGTGGTGTTTGTGTCTACCTCATGAATGCAGGTCCGGTATTCAGTCGTCTTGTGCCTTTGTTTTTCTAGTCTCCTGAGGAAATAGCTGACTATTGAACTGCTAAATGCTCCTCTGTGTTCAACAGGTAGCTGCTGACTGTTTCTGTCTGCTCTCTGGCGCTAAGCAGGGGTAGTTTTCAGAGCTTTTCTCTGCTGTGAGAGTGAACCAAAAAGAATAACAGAATACCAGAAGATTTTTTTGGGCCAGAAACCCAAAACAATAAACCAAAAGATACTAAAAAGCTCCACAAAGCTGAGAAGAACTGTACAGTTGGGTTATAACAATCTGTGGGTTTTATCCACATACTAATTTCATTTATTTCTAAAGTAAACAGCAGCGACCAAAACAGCTTTAAGAAAAGCAGTTAGGAAAAGGACATTGCACATGACATCGAGTAAATGCAAAGTCACCATTTTAGAGTCTCGAGTTTAAATAGCTTCACATTCTCTGATATTCATTTCACTGCTCGGTGTCAACGCTCAGCCCCAGCAGCTGTGTCACAGTCACACTTGCAGGTGGAAATATCTGAGCAGGGACTGGGCATGGTTGGGTAAGTGAGACCAGAGCTGTGTCGCGGGGGGGACACAACAGGAGAAAGCCGAGGAAATCCCCCGTGATAACTGCGCCTTAAGCTGCTTCCCACCCCAAAAAGACGGCGCAGCTGCAAGCAGCATGAAGAATGGGATTGATATGAAACTGCTGATCCCCTGGCCACTGTTAGGAGGCAGCGGAGAATACTTCTGATGACAGTGTGGATCTCTCCTGCACTCTGAAATTTAACTCACTTTACTGCATAAACTGTAACTCATGACAAGCCAGCTACGAATTGGCCTCGACTCACTCGTGCGTCCCCAAAAACTCCTGCAGGGCTGCTATTTTTCTTCACTAAACTAAATGAAAGTAGCAGCAAATGTTTTCAAAATTCTGCTCTCATAGACCTGCAATTACATCCTTCTTAGTGGTCAAATCAGCATAGATCCTTTTTTTTTTTCTCTCATCCTCATTTTTCCGGATCTGTTATTATATGTCTGTGTGTGTTCGTGTGTACATTGGTCTGCCCTGGAGGTTGCAGCCTTGGCTCTGCTGCGCTCCACTGAGTCTGCCAGGAGATCTCATGGACGCCTCAGTGGAGCGGACTCTTAAAAACACTGCTTACCCCAAGGAGATTTATTTAAAGTTACTGAGCGGAGCGGAGTCTCAGTCCAAATCCTCTATGAGTGTATGTTTGTGTCTTATTCGTGGTATTTACACATGCAAGGCTGCATTGAGATGCTGTGAAAACAAGAACAGAGCAAGTGGCGGATTTCTGAAAAGGCAGAGATAACTCCATAATGTCATTTCGCTGAGATATTTCAACAGCTCATTTGTCACAGTCCAAGTGCTTTATACGAGTCAAGCAAACTGTACTGTTTGTTCTCATTATCTCCTAGATTTTCCCCATTGACGCTGAGCAGGTCATGCTTGTAATTTCTTCGTATACTCTGACGGAAGACTCACTCATGTGTCACCGGGTCTGGCTCTTCTGTGCTTTTCCCAACCTCTGCGGAGGATGAATCAGACACTGCCAGTGTTAGAAGTACTCACAATAGAGGGATTTTTCACGTCATTATGTTTGAATGACTCAATGTCATGCATCATATGTGGGTCTTTTTAAAGTTTGGACACTCCTGAGGGTTCATTGCAAACACTTGTTGAGTTAAAAAAAAACACATTGTGAGAATGGAGGAAGAGGAAAGAACCGGTTGCTTCACTTTGGAAACAAATGAGGTTATCTGTGGTAGTCCCTTAGATTGACATTTAAATGCCATTTCACTTTGCAGAGCAGTGAGCTGTCAAGGATGTTAACATTATTGGCTGGTCAGTTGGTTTGTCCAGTTCCATAGTGAGGTTTGGATGTGAAAATTCAGAGTCCCCAGGTAGGAGACATTAATCCTGCTGTAACCGAAAATCTTTAAAACTGACATGATAAACTTTTTTAACAACAACAACATGATTATTTTTACATCCTGCAGCAAATTTAGAGTCATGTTCTTAACCACATATTGAATATTGAGCCAATTTTCAGTCATTTTTAGCTCTGCTTTTAGTGTCTACCTGTTGGAAATATGTTCCAGCCAGAGACTTTACTGGGCTAACCAGCTGGTCACCGTCTGTGTCTGTCTGCTGTTTGGTGCTGAGCAGGTTGTATATTGGGGAGTTTGAGAGTTTTCTCACTGAAAACGGCTGCCCGATGTGGCCAAAACGATGCTATGAGAGCACCAAGACTGAACCAAAGCAATGAATCTGCAGGCCAGAAAACTCAACTATGAGCTGAAAGTCACGATAAAGCTGCAAATTTAGATGGCTGAGACAAAATGCTTTGTGATAGAAACATTTTTCTCATTGTCATATTGCTTTTCCCTGAGGTTTTTTTGTTTGTTTGTTTTTTACCAACATCTGACTGAAGGTTTTGCTCACGTTGCCATAAAATTGTCAAAAACTTTCATGTTCCCCAGAAGATAAACCTAGTCTGTGCTGGAGATTCCCTTAGCATTCATGTTAAGTGAATCCAGCTCAAATGGAAGATCTGCACAAAAAATATCCCATAATACTATCTGATATCTCGTAGTGTATTAGGCCATGAAACTTTTTGCACATATTTCATGTTTCCTCCATTCCTCTGCTTTCTTTCTGTCACTTGTTGTTGCTTCTAAGATGAAAAATTTGTCCGATTTCAAAACGTTAACACCCCTGTGGCCTTTTTAAAACGAGCTTTATGCATATTGTCAGCTCAACTAGAAAATAAAAAGCCTTAGTATGCATTTGGTCCATTCAGTACTTCTGGTTTGTTGGATGTTCTGCATAGTGCCTTCTCTTGGAGATATTGGCAAGCTTTTCTCCTCTTAAAGCTTACTAACAACATTTGTCAGGCTCTGATATTTGCAAAGGGCCGTTAAGTTGTGAAAATAGAAAGTTCAGTGATTTATGTTGATTGCAAAAACCTTGACTTTGGATGGCCCTGTGTTCTTGGCTACAATGCATTTGGCATTAGAGTTTGTCTGAAATTCTGCTGAGTGGATAATTGCTTTTCCCTGCAATAAGTTGACAGTTTGAAAGATAATAAAAGATGCATGAACTCTTAGGAAAACATTGATAAGTTAAAGCAACTGGCTGGTACCAGGCCAGTGAAACAATATCACCGTTGTTTCACGTCATGTGGTAATGCACATATGTATGTATGCAATCTGTTTAGAATGATGATATCATGATAAAAACATCTGGAGTATGTGTTTAATGTATTTGTGCTTTAACACATTCTTTTCTGAGCTTACACAACTTTTCCTGTATGTTTGTGTATGTGTGCATCTGTTTTAGAGATTTTTACTGTTTTTTCTGCTATTTCCTTCATAGTACATCAAGATCCCAGCTCCCACGTCAGAGTCACCTTCTGCTCTTCGTGTCTTCTCCTTCTACTTATCCAGCGACAGCAAAGACCAGCCACAAGCCAGCTTCGAGTGCATCCATCAATATGTTTCAGGGTATGAAGTAAATCAGTTGAAACATAATATTTTTGCAGACTTCAGAGAAACTCGTGTGATTCTGTTGTTTCATCTTCTCAAAAAAATTGCACCAAACTTGACTTTTTTTTTTTCCTTAATTCAAAACCCTTTTTCAAGCACCAGGGAAAACTAACCAAATTTCTTTTGAGTTTCCCCACAGAAATAATAAATCACGTCAAAGAATTTTGGCAAATGTTTCCTGCCAAAAATTGATTCTTTCTTAAGTTTCCAAATGTGTCATGAGTAAGCATTTGATCTGATGTACTGGTTGTGGCACATGTGGCCCTAGATGACAGCTTTTACTCATCTTCGAACTGCATTTTTTTTTAAGATTGATTCCTTAGTTTTCTCTGTGCACACATATCAGGAGAGGCAGTTAACTCACAGCTTGCTATACACTGCATGGGGCAAGTGTAATTTCCTGTATATTTCTGGGCTGAGCCTCTCATTACTGAGACCTGTGATGCCTTATTTATGGAGTGGATATGCTTGGAAACTGAAGGTTATGCTCCGTTGCTGCCTCTTGCTGCCAGATGGCTAATTGTGGTCTGAACTTCAACTAGTTTTGGTTCCAGTAAGCTGCCGCAGCCAAAAGAAACAATGCGACAGCGTGAGGGAAAGATCTTGCTCTCACTTGCCCTCACATTTGTTTTGATATTTAGATTCTAAAGAGGAGAAATGGTCAGTAGTCACGTATGTAATTATGTTGTGAAAATGAATATTGAATCAGAGAAAAAAGTTATTTTGAGTATTAATGAAGCCCAGGCTCATGTATTAAACTTTTTTCTTTTGTCCAAGATGATCCTTGTTTTGCAAGCATGCTGGCAGGAGCCAAGGTAATCCTGGTGGTTTTCCACAGGCTCTATCCTGCTTTGAACCAGGATATCTGGCTTTCTCACATGTAGCAGGCAGCAGAGCTATATCCAGCCTGTGACATAACATACAGTAACCATAGACCTGTCTTAGCCAGCTTCTACCACAAAGCCACTTTATGCTGCGCGGAGTCTATACTGGTATGCTGCTCTAAGATAGCTGACAGTACTGTGTCTTTACAGTGTTTACTGTAGAGCCAGCAGAAAGCCCTGCAATTCAGCAGCTGTGTATTTTTGTTTTGCAGTGACGGCCGCGACCAGCTGGAAGGTCAAGGCAGCATCCAGGACAAGATCACCGTGTGTGCCACCGACGACTCCTACCAGATGACCCGCGAGAGGATGTCTCAGGTGGAGAAGGACAGCTGGAGCCGCTCCGCCATCGAGATCAAACCTGGAGCCACGTATCCAAGTAAGATTAGACAAGAGGCCTCTGTGGTGGAAAAACAGGATGATACATCTGCTGATTTTCATGTGGAAAGGGCCAAATGGCTCTAAGCTTGGAGAGGGATCAGCAAATTGGATGTGTACACAATGATGCCATATAAAAACAAAAATAGAAATATAACAGCACCAATAAAAGTAATGGGAATATTTGCCATACTTAAAAAAAATAATCCTTTATTCATTGCTCAAAGCTTAAAACCAGATATTTTCCTGTTGTGCTGTGTAATGAAACCAGATGTGCAGGGCGTGCTTTTGGTTACACAAATAAGACCAAAAGTTAACTCCTGTCTCCAATATTTATTATTTTCTACCCATTTCTCTTTGGCTTTTGGTTTTAAGTCTTACTTTGTCTCTCTTCTCACATCTGGCTTTGAAAAGAGTGTCGGCCAAATAGATGTTTGCATTGTTCAAAGTCAGCAACTGTCTGTCTTTAACTCGTAATTTCAGAGGCAGTAAGCCAATATAAGATCCAAAGCCAGGTTCATACTACTACTGAAAGCCGTAGTTTGAGAATGAAGTGGTAGAGGTGTGTCTCTAAAATATAGCTTATGAAATTAAATGTCAGCTGCGTAGGGATTGTAAACAGGTTCGTTTTTGTAGCAAACAACTTAAACGGCTGCAGAGCGGTGCCACGAGCTTGTCTGGAAATGACTCAATTTTGCCACAAACTTTTCTTAGATCTTAATCGTCGAGGATACCTTACAGCATATTAATCATGTAAGAGCATGAACTGGAAAGCTAATTTCTCTTTTCTTTTTTTTTCTTTTTTTATCTTCTCCAACCTTTGCCGCGGTTATGCAATATTTTTCCTTGGCCCAATTCTAGACCCCCATGTCAGTGCTGGAGCCTCAGGGGAAGCTGAAACTCTGGTTGGTTTAAGCCAGATTTAGACTGTGGGGATTGTGTAACATCACATCCCCAGCTGAAGATGACATGGCAACATATATGCCCAAAGGGAAACATTTAATAACTACACTCCAAATTCCACTTGTAGCCCCAGGAGGCTGTCATAAACATAGCTTGTACTATAAAGCGTACCGAAACCTGTAGAGTGTGCATCTGACACATCACACACCATAACTGTGGTATAATTCAGGGTATTTTGCTCATGATTAATGACTGGTTGTGGACTAATGACACTACATGGTGTTGTTATCACTTGGCAGGACACACTTTTGTGGTTGAAAAGAGAGCTTTCTTTTTCTGTACCTCTCCCCCACTCTGACCTTCAAAGCGCAGATTAACCTGTAATGGGATTAGCACAGAGAGAGAGAGATGGCTTTCACTGCTCTAACATGCCCCATCTGTCTGCAGCAGGGAATAATCAATGGGATGCTTGCATGTGAGGATAAATAGCTGCAGGACTGCTTGCACATATGATCTATAGATGATAATTATTGGAAGATATTTTGGCTGGTGATTTCCCATCAGTTAGCAAGTTGTCAAGATAGTGCACCCAGCAGAGCACGTTCAGCAGGTTGTGTGTCACATGTTGCTGCTTTAGTTTGACCACGAACATAAAAGTGTTTTTTTTTTTTCCAACATGAAACATTTCACTGATTCCTACTTACAGAATTTCCTTCCTCAGGATTGAAAAATTAGTTCAGATGATCTTAAATTTAAGTCTCACTAAATGTCAGGAAACTCTAAAGATTTGATTTCTTGTGGATCACTGACATATTTGAATGTTAAAAAAAAAAAAAAAAAAGCCTTTTAAAATGCATCTTGTACACAAACTATGCCTCTTACAAAATACAGTGGAGAATTTCACGGTTAAAGTAATCCAAATGCAAGGAGAAAAATTACAATCCCCATCGAGTACGACTTATTTCAGTATAAACCGTGTTCTTATTCTGTGTGTTCAGGTAAATGCGTGAAGTACCACAAGAGGCCAGCGGCTCCTCTGTCTGCCTCAGACAGCAGCTTCCATAAGCAGTCCACCAACAACCGGAGGAACGGCGCTCTGGCCGCTCTGACCCAGAAGCCCCTGAGGGACCGAATCATCCATCTGCTGGCTCTCAAACCGTACAGGAAACCAGAACTGCTGCTGTGGCTGGAAAGAGAAAGAGCCAGCCCGAAGGACAAGGCCGAGCTGAGTGCCACGCTGGAGGAGGTACTTAGAAACGATATGCTTGCACACATACTGCATGTAAACACCAACATGTAGTGTACATGCTCTGCACAGACACTCAGTCTGCGTTAAGTGGTTTTCACATATAGGATCTGTACATTGATTCGCTGTGTAACCCCTAAACATGTATGTACTTATCTTTTTTTTTTTTAACCCAACTTTGCATACTGTCATTTGTGTGCATGCTCATGCATTTGATCTTTACATCTTACACACTGCACACACGTGAGAACATACTACATGTACATATTTCTGTGGCTTCTGTCTGCTGAGTGTCTCAGATGACAACCCGACTGAACAGTAATGCCTAAACACTGGGTTGCAACCAACCATTAAAGCACTATAGACTGCCTTCTAATCATTTAAAAAAAAAAAAAAAGAAAAAGTTGCTTTCAACGCTCTCAGGAAGAATGCAAATATTACAGCAACTGGTACCACTGTTTCACACCACCCTCTCCATTAAAAGCACCAAACCAAAATATTATCTCCTATACTCAATCTACACATCATCCTGTGCAGAAACAAACCACAACCACTTGTGCTTCAGCTAAAGTTGTGATTTCATTTAGACAAGTTTCCTTTATATGACTTTCCCGTATGTATTTTTGAGTAATTCCTAAATGATGTTTGTGTGTTTGTACTGTCGTGATTAGTGTGCTTGCGTGTATTTTGAGGGCCCTCTGCTTGGTGATGTGTTTGCATGTATGTGGTTTTCATGTCAGTGTGTGTGAGTAATTAGGTCGCTGCTGTAATTGTCTCTGCAGAGATTGTGTTTGCTGTTGGGCGGGCCGCCCTGTCAGGAGGCCCCCCGAAAGATAGATGTCCTCAGAGAAAGGCAGTCTGAGGAGATGTTAAAGTCCCTCTGAGAAAGAAACTCTGACGCTCTCAGATGGGAACAAAATCACAGAGAACGTAAACGTTTTGCTTTTCAGGAATGTGGATGTACCACCTTTAGCGCATCCTCCACTCCAATTAGTGACAGTTTTACTATTTGATTCGCTTGCAGTGCCAGAAATAACAACAGAATGTGTCTTTTTAGTGTTGGTTCTATATTTACACAGTTTATTAGTTATCTTTATAACACAAGTGGGCAACAAGCAACATGTGGCGGTTGACAAAATAAAAACTGGAACATAATTCAGAAATATCACACATGTAGTTATAATTTTGAAACAAGAAATGTATTTAATATAGTTTTTTTTAAAGTAGTTTGGATATTTTTTGCTAAAATATCTGCATCTTTTACACAGAAAATGTTAGATTTTTAGAGCTACAAAATCAATTAAACATATAAATTCTTAACAAATGTAGGTAATCTGTCTACGTTGCATGTGAACATTTCTCATTTAGTTATCAGTCGAATATGCCGATCTCAACAATGAAAATGCTTGAATGAACAGTTGTACGTTCTGTATGCTGAGGTACAGCTTAAAATGATGGCATTTACAAATCATGAATACAGCTGAAGTAGGCCCATTAGAAGACATTTGAAAATGGCTATAATGACTATTTTAAGGATGACAATGCATCAAATGACAATGTGAAAGTGGGTTTTTGTAGCTTGAAGATGTCCAGCTCACGACTGCACAGTTTTTGTTCATTCTCACCACCTGCATATTGGTTTGGGACACAACAATCAGCTCTGTAGACTTCTTGCCCTGCACCAAACAGCGGACAACATTAGCGGTTAGTTGGGGAACACAGTGGAGCATTTTGCTGATAAAGAGCCAGATGCTTCCCTCTGGAGCTGATCCAAGTGCATTAATTTACATTATTCTAGAATTTATATACTTTTTCACAAATGGATCTCAGGGTAAATGTAAACTTTTTTTTTTTTTAGCCATAGTTAAGCTGTGAATAAAGTAAGAAACTACAGGCTTTAACATAACATGTCTGATATTTCAGGTGGCAAAAGTGAATCCCAAAGACAGCAGCTACTTGCTGAGGGATGACCTGTACAGGTACGTGCAGAAGGACTGGCCCGGCTACAGCGAGGAGGAGAGGCAGCTGATCAGCAGGCTGCTGGCCAGGTGGGTTAGAGGCAATATGCATGGCATCAAACTAGTCCTTAAATCTACTTGTCTCCTTATGTGAGAAACAGGCTGAGGTGTACATGCAAGTGTCTCTTCACTTTTCAAAGTCTGTGGTACTTCTTGGTGTTGACACAATCTGGTGGTGACAATCATTATCATGGCTGGAAAAAAACCCCCAAAAAACAGGCTTGCAGTAACTCACAAATAGCAGAATTGGAGATGGAAACTTTCTTTTTCACTTGATTGTCTCCCACACCTTTAGACAGACACTGGCTCACCTAGTTTCCCCTCCACATATTCTGCTTCCAGTTTCACACATCTCTGTACATGTGCTAATCAACCCTCAGAAGCAGAGCTTGTCTGTACCTGCAACTCAAGGAATCTTTCATTTTCATGCTGTAAATCTGCATAACTTTGAGTGACAACAGTTAAAATTGAAATGTGGCTGAATTCCACATTGATAGATACTGTCTTTGTGTCTCATTACCATGTTCTTTTCTCTCTCTATTGAACAGGAAGTTGCAGCCACACATCAGCAACCAATCAAGAAATCTTCAGGCAAACCCGTCGTTGCTAAAACCCTCAGAGGATCAAAGTGTCGCAAAAACTCCTGCAGTGGTACAAGGCCTTATTGTTTTCCATTAACCTTTCATTATACTGGAAAGTGACTGATCTGGTTCTTCTGGTGCTTCTTTATTATCCTGGTTTTCGCATAAACGTAAATGGATACAATATTTGCATTTGAATTGTTGCCCTTTTAAAGATAAATGTCTCCCTTTTCCCTCTTTTTCTCTTGATTTCGCAGAAACGCCCCGTGCCTTCTGACTCCCTGGAAAGGCTAGCAGTTAAGAGACAAAAGCTTACGGACCAGAGATTACAACAGCAGCCGTCTGTAAACGGACTCCTAAACAACAAAGCAGGACACAATAATGCAAATCTTACCCTCAACCCCAGTTTCCACACAAAGACTGAGTTTCAAAGGACAAGTAACCATCCCGAGAACCAAAATGGCTTATCGGGGAGCCACAATGGCTTCCCTCTAATCCACAAACTGTCGAGCACCTCTGATGGACCTGTTTCAGAGTCCAGGGTGCAAGAACCCAAAGGAAGCAGCCTGCAGCCGCCCCAGTGTGACTCTGATTGTGCTAAACAGCAGCTTACCAACAGCCAGCACAAGAAGAAGAAGTCTAAAAAGCACAAAGACAAGGAGCGGGAGAGGTTAAAAGACAACCAGGGAAGTGACTGGATAAACACGAGTCCTGATCTCAAGCAGAATCCAGACAAACTAGACAGTAAGGCCCTTTTTTATATGCACATTTTCCTTTTGCCTGGTATCCATCCTTCATGTCTGTTATATTGTTTGGTCAAATAAATCATAAAACCAGTGATGTAGAGGGAGCGTCTCGATTCCCACACTCCTCCTCCTGTGGGTCATTTTGACTTCCATGTGGCAGTCTTTATTGCTTCCAGGGCTATTCTTGTACGAATGTCACGTTTCATATTGCAGTGGTCACATCACTAACACACCCTATTGTTGTTGTGCGTCTGAACCCTCCTCTGCAATTGCCTACAAAATAACAGTTGAACCGCACACACTTTGACCAGTGGTAATTGTGTGTGAGGTCGCTCTGAGTGACCATGTGTCTGGCAGCCCGCTGGTGCATTTGTACAGTATTATCTAATAAGCATGGCTGTGTTTGCTCCCTGATGCTCACACTCTTGAGTCCTCAGTGTGTTATGTGGCTGACTGACTCAACAACATCTTGAGTGGTGCATTGGGTCTCTGAGCTGAGAGGTCTCCTGACACCCACAAGCTCTTAGCTAGTCTGCACAGAGGCAGGCGGGGACGCACACACACACACTCAGACTGTGGCTTTCAGCAAAAACAAAAACACATTGCTTAACATACAGACAATGACAAAATGTCACGTGGATGACTGTATCGACTCCACTCAGGCTAATGTCGTTTTCTTCTCGATTGTGTTTCTGCTTCAGATCCTGACATCACAAATGCTGTGGCCTCCGAGGAGAAGCCAGATTACGTGCTGTGAGTGTAGACAAGTTTTAAAGTCATTGTTCCATGTGGTGTCACTGTTTTAGATTGCTAGTGTTGCGTTTATTACATAATGTGGATGAGCAAGAAAAAGAAAGACTGAAGGATTCAAGCCTGAACTGTTACATGGCTGCATGACAGTGTTGCCTTGTGCTGCCATCTTGTGTCAAAATGTGGTACTACAGAGCAAGAAATTTTTAAAAGGCAATTATGCATGAAAAAAAGATTGTGATGACTGAACTCTATCTGAAGGACAAAATTCAGATGAATTAGTGGGTTTTCGTGCCCTAATATGTTGCATAAGACTACACTGTGTCAGACCGGTTATATCACTAGTCTGGTATCACTGAGTTCATCTGTTTCTCCTTGTAGCGCGTACAGCACCATAAAGAGCTTGGAGCAGCGTCAGAGGTACCAGGAGGATTTCTGTGCAGAATATGATGAATATAAAGATCTCCATTCCCGCATCGCCACCATAACTCACATGTTTGTTCAGCTCGGGTCTAAGATTAAGAGCCTATCCCCCGGCACACAACAATATAAGGTACATTTGTGCATCTGATCTCATTCATGGAACACGGCAGAATTGTGTCGTTCTGTGCTGCTGAATCAATACTAACAGCCTGTGCTTTGTACCATTTAGATAATGGAAGACCAAATACTAGAAAAGTACAACAAGTATCGGAAGGTGAGTCAAACATTTAAATGGTCCTGGAGTTGTTTCATTATGTACAGGATTTTTTTTAAATCTCGCCAAAATATGCAACTTATCAGAACAAAAAAAAAATGTAGAAACAGAAACAATCATTAGATTTTTAACTTTTTAATTGTCCTTGAATTAATCATGTGTGATGTGTCATTGCATCTGGAAAGTAAAGCAAATGTAAGTTTAAAATTGTCATATTTATTAAAATCGCTCGAACCATATCCGATAGTAAAGGAAAAAATTCTGCATTCCTGTGACCAATGGTCAGGACTTTTCAGTTGAAATGCAGGCAGTGTTTAGAAGGAGCAGATGTAAGTAGTAACACATCTATTGTATTTGGAGTCACCATTTTTTTCTAATATTCATAACACCTGGAGGCACTTAGAAAATTTTATGGTTACGGGTTTTTTGTTGTTTTTGTTGTTTTTAACTTTCTTAATCAAATAATCAAAGAAATTCAACGTTTTTTTTTTTTTTTTAAGATTTATGGCATTGTAATCACCATGCTACACAGAAGACATTTTTGCGTTTTCTCTGCTTCTAGCTTTAGTTATACTGTTTCCATGGAGGTGCAGGACTTCATTTTGCAGTGTAGAATGAGCCCACAGTGAGGAAAAACTGTGACATGAGCAAAAAAATGCTGAGAGAAAATGCTTAGGGTTCACAGGATTAAAAAGGGCTGCCCTTTCGCAGTAACACTTTACTTCGTATATTATTTCCACGTGTACTTATCATCTGTTCACACATTTCACATGATCAGATGTTCTCCACGATGGTTACGGGCAATTTTGGGGCTTAGTGTGAGTAATAAGTATAACAATCTGAACCCCTTTTATTAACGTGCTGTCTTATCTCTCCACAGAAGTTCCCAGGCTACCGGGAAGAAAAGAAACGCTGCGAGTATCTCCATGAGAAACTGTCGTACATCAAACAGCTCATCATAGACTATGATGTCTGTAAGGCGTCCTCATAGCGTTGGCTCTCAGATTTTTACAGATGGAACCCCCTGCGTTGAATACACAACAGGAGTGTCGAAGCGTTTTTACATGACAGTGATGTAAAGGGTTTCGTTTGAAACTGCAGCTGTCAACACAGACCGCTTCTGCTGGGACCACGGACGATGCTGTGAGCACTAATGATATTAAATCAATAGAAGATTTCACTCTGGTCTTTCTAAGCCTGTTTGTTCTGAAGTTATTATTTCTTAAGGGATGTCTCGATGTGAAAAATCCAAGGGAGAGGCAAAAAAACATCAGCCTTTCTAAAACCGGAGTCAGTGTAAGCCATTTTGATAGAAATATCTCAAAGCTAGTAATGACTTTAACTTATTCACTTTGTTTTTCACACTTGTGAACTCGAACATTCCTTAAGGCAGTTTTTCCTCTTTCCTTTTTTTTTTTATACATTTAAAGATTTCAATAAGCAGCATAAAAGAGGAAGTACTTTTCAATTCCATATCAAAGTGGCTTCATTTGTAATAAATGAGTGAAGCCGCCCACTGCAAAAAACTGAAATATTTTTAGTCATTTCATCTCAGATTTAGCTGTCATGTCATATTATGCAAATGAAGAGAAATGATTCCACTTGTTCCCACTGCAGTTTCCTTTACCGTTTCAGGCAAGACAAGTTTAAAGCTGCAACAGAAACCGAAAGGAAGTTTATTCTTTGCTGGAACCAAGTGGAATCATATCAGTCCCTGGCTGAACATAATAATAGACAAAATGATGTGTTAAAATGAAGGCATTTTACAATGCAGCCAGTGAAAGGATCATCCCGTTCGCCTGGATTCATATGGTTAGTTTATTTCAAGAGTGAAGCATGTGATCCTGTCGTATCGCGCTAAATTCACAACCCGTTCGAAAGCAGCTGAATCCAATGAGCAAAAACGGGAATCAACTGGTTGAACATGTTAAGAGCCACCGGTTCGCGTAGAACCTGCTTCAATAAGTCAAGGTATATGCCGTCTCCCATATGCACTTGTGTTTTATCTAAAGTATTTATTACCCACACTCCCTTTTCAACACCTGGTGAACGGACCAAAATGCATAGACCTTGTTAATCAAGTAGCAAGTCTAGTTTTAAAGTATTTTAACCTACTGGAAAGAAGTGTCTTTTTGCATAGAACTACTGATGTATTTATTTTTAAGCCATTTATTTTTCCCCCTCTGTCCTCTGCCACTGTTCTCCTCGGCTTGTAGCATCCGGTCTTGTTAGATCAAAGTGTTTGTATCCAAGCAGCTGAGGGAGGAAGGTGGGAAAGGTTGTGAATAGATGAAAGGTATCATAATATATTATGTGTTTTGTCTCTGTCTTGACACACTTGTGGAGAGTCTCTGCGTTTAAGCTGGCCCAAAGGCCTCTTAATATCAATGCTTTAACAGTGCACACAAAGGCCTCAGGTGAGCGGTTAGCCGCCACTTCAGCTGTGTTTGAAATAGTTCACTTGTACACTATAAAGGAGGATAGAAACAGCATCTAGACACTAGTATTGTAAGGCACAAAGCATGGCGGTACTTTAATGACTACATTGCACTGCATTTTTTTTTTGGTTATCGATTAAACTATAGGATCCTCATTTAGGAATCTGGATAGAAAATGATGGACAACACTAAGCTGTGGACTTTATAGTGTACAGTGAATGATTTCAGAATCAGCCCTGAATAGTAGATTTTCAGGAAGAAAAAAAAACAACACACAGCTATGTTGGTAAAACGTGTGCATTTGCGACGCCGTGACTAGTCGTGGTGTTTGAATTTTGTAGCCTTCAATTTCCAGTTAATAATCAGTGCCCATTCAGATTGTAATTGTTTATTGTGGTTTCAGTTTTTGCACTGAATGTCACCATGCAGTCAATGACATAGAAGCCTTAAGATTTCACTTTTGTATAACAAATTCTTCATACTGCCAATGTCAAGAAGGAGTCATTATCCACACACATCTGTTTCCTGCCTTATATTACTGCTAACTGTTACATTTCAAACTGTTTAAATGAACGCCAACTGTGGCTTTCTGTATTCATAATGCAATTTAATCATTGTTTAGTGCACACTTTGATTGGCCATGATGACATAGCTGACTCATCAGTTGCATTTGTAATCCTTCTGGTACTTTGTTTTCCTTTTTTTTTTTTTTTTTTAAATCATCATTGAGGTATATGTTTAGGTATTTATCATAAGGATTATCAATGATGTTTTTCCTGCTTACAATATTTCTATCGACGCCCCATTTGAGCCTCTAAGCATTTGAAGTAGTTTGAGTGTCCTCAGTGGGTTCTGCCATATTTCAAGCACAAAAAGGTCAATTTTAAAAGCAACAATGCTCAGTGACTTTCAGGAAGTGGATGGTAATCATGAGAAGGTTTCAGGAGGGAAAAAATGATAGTATCAAGTGGTTGATTGAGAGCCATAATTTGTGTGACAGTGATTTTCAATTTGGTTGTTGAGTATGGTAAAGGTTTAAAAACAGAATACTTCTGATGAAGTCACTGGGTGGGGTTTTCTACTTTTCTGTGCAAATGGTAATCACAAGCTCCATTAACAGGTTGGTAAACTGTTTGTTTTGTTTGTTTTTTTGGTCTTGTGCTGAGCATTTACAAGGTACCAGTGTGTACTGCACAGTAGGTGTTTCTATGTACAGCACACCTGCTGCAGGGGGTCTTCAGTTTCAGAGGAATCAGACAGGAGCGTATGCATTATGAACTGCATTTTACAAATGTATACTTTCTCTTGTGTTCTTGTGCAAAGTTCAAACAAATAAAAACATCAAAGAGACTTTCCCTGAGAGGTTTTATGCTTTTTTTTGTAAATTGCTCTTTGAATTTTCTCCGCAGGTAATGCAGATCATCGTTCATGTTTTTACTTTAATTGCAGCGTCTTTTGCGTGCAGTTCAGCACAAAACTGGATGCCTTTATTTGTTGTAACATCGGTCATTCTTGTTATAAAGAGGGCGTACCCAGCACACACTGGTTTGAGACCTCATATACAGTTGTAACCATGAAAGAACAGAAATATACCTTCAGATTGGGTTTCCTCTGTGACAGGTTTATGCTTCTGGAGATTGAGTTTTCTGTTCTTAATTTCATTAAGAGAGCTACAATGAACTTTTCTTGGAATAGTCAGTGGAGAATCTGGACTGAAATCTACTTACCAACAGTTTACCAAGCTTATTGGCTAAACTGTATGAAAACATTAAAAATGCAGCATTTACATCTGACAAGCTGTTCAAAATACAATGGTATAATATTCACTATCGTATCTTACACACCCTGTAAAATGATGAGTGATGGTAACTGTTTGGAAAATGATCTGCTGTGAGTTCTTCATTAAACAACTGTATTAGCTTGGGTCATATTTCGCTATTGATTCCACTGATTTTTTTTGGTGGGATGTGAGCTGAGAAACAAAGTGTTCAATCACACGTATTGATCTCCTGCAATGAGTCCCAAACAGCTCGCGTTTAACAGATATCGGAAGTCGTTTATTCGTGACAGCATCCTAACCACAATGAGTCAACACCAAAACAGAAATTAACACTGTGGCGCTCTAAAAATGGAAAATGAAGAATTGATGCTACTCATATGTAGTATTGACATGTCTGTGTGTCATACACAGTCTATGCTTGGACACAGCAATCTGAGATGGTTGACAGGGTTCACTAAAGCATAGGAGCAAGAACATGTCACATATCCAACCAGCAAATACATCATGACAGCTGTCACAGACAACTATGTTAAAATATTTGATAACTAGCTACATTTGATACTAGAGGAAAGTTATCTTAGCCTTGTCTCAATCGCTTTTCCCTAACGTTATCTTGTTTAGATGGGGTGCAAATTTGAACGTAAAGCAAATCATTTATTTACATTGGAAACTTCAAACTTTTTCTTTAATTCAGTTCAACTCAGTTTATATATATATATATATATGTCCATTTCAGCACATCAGTCATCTCAAGGCACTTTCAACATCACATTGCAGATAGAAAACTGACAAACAGTGCATTAGAGAATGACATAGAGGTCAGTGGGGTCAGTAACTGCAGATCAGAAATGCACAGCTCGGCAGCCAGAGACACCTGCAAAAACGTCCAACCCAAACCTATAGGAGACAGAAGACACAAAGTTAGTGACATGCAATTGTGGCATATGTGTAGGAAAAAAAGAGAGGAGAGGAGGGGTGCTCACTACATCATGGGAAACCCTAGTTATTGTGTAACTGCAAAGTAAAGAAAGTTTGCCTTTTGTGTTTTTTTGTTTTTCTTTTGCATATGAAATACAGTTTCTAGTGTGTGTTTACGAGGTCAGCAGGGCTTTTTTTTGGGGGAGTTTTTTTGTTTGTTTTTATAAAACCATACTTTGTTTTATTTCTTGGATCAACTCGTTAATTTTTTGCTGATTGGCCCATTCCCGTAATGCGCATGCTCAGAACCAGCAGTTACGGCGCACCCACTGGTTGATCACGTGACAACTGTTTGCGGCGCATGGCGGAACTGTTGTCATGACGACCGTGAACCATCCAACTCATGGTAGCATCTTTCAGGGCGCTTTGTAAAGTTTGGCCAAACTAACCAGGTAAGAACAACAATGACATTTATACATTTTTTTAAGAGATATTTTTATTCACAGCTGACTGAACCACGGTCACTATGACTCCACCTTTCTGCGTTCAATGTGGATGTACGGCGGTTTAGCTGGAAGGAACTCACCTGTTAGCTTACAAGCTGCCTTGTTTTGTCACCTTGTTTTCACTTGGCACACGCTTGTTAGCTTCAAACTTTTAAAGCTGTTGCCTTTCTTTCATTTTCTTGTGTGCAGTCTAAACTGTACTAAAAGTTGAGTTTACTGTTTGTCAGTAAACTGAAGTGTAAAGATGAACTGCTAGTGTCTCCTCCTGCAGCAGACCCAGACAGTATTAATGAAACTCTCAACACAGGCTAAGGGACTGTGTGCTTCACTGTACATTTAGAGTTAGTTATATAGACCCAATGGGGTTATTAAGTGTTATGTATTTCATTAAAATCAGTTTTGCATGGATTTTTGTTTCTATACTTAAAGTCTGAATTTAATTTAGAAACATTTACTTCAAAATTGTAATTGACTTCGATTATCCATGATGTATTGCTGATATTTTTACTAAAGTTGAAGGTCTCAGTATTTCCACTACTGGTGTGCATATGCAGTGTTTGCATAGGTGGGTGCCACTTGGAATAAGGACTGTCTTGACAACAAAGACCATTTTAATGACAGCTCCTGCACATTACTGACCAGTACTCTCCTAGCTATTGTGGACCTGCATAAAATTCAAACTACATTGTGTAAAACTGACATGTTTCTGCTAACGTAATATCCATGTACACCACAAAAGGTACACCACAAATGGAAGCAGCTGACAAAATTAAGAAATTGAGGAAGGCAACACCTACTTTGGAACTACCCAGTGTCACACAGGTACAGCATTTTACAACAGATATGTCGTGATCTCAACAAATCTTCTGGCAAAAGTCTTTCTTAACTGTGTATTATTTCTTTTCAAATGAAGACAAGACTAGCTGTTACGTTGTATTGTTCCAATTCTAAAAAATAGATTATTTAAATTAACATATCAATTCTCTTTAAAACTGGGTATGATTTCGTCCATCAGCTTCCAGAGAGCACCAATTGCCTTGCATGCTCGGAGGATGGCAGGTACCTCTGTCTGGGTCACTGCCGAGGCTTGTCTGTGTGGTCCGCGTCTTCTTTGACCTGTGTTTCTGAGTGGCTGCAGGACAGGCTGGAAATTACATCTGTTCAAATGACCAGAATAGCTGAAATGACCTATCTGCTTGGTACTGTCGATGATATGGGTGAGTAGTGCAGCTCTGAACAGACACCGTGCTTGTCTTCATGCATCATCTATCTTCTGTATTCAACCTGTATAGACAGTTGGATTTTCATAGATTAATAAATGCTTGAAGTGCACTGACTTGATCCTAAAGTTGCAAAGTATTTCAGAATTTCCCCTTAGGGTCAGCAAACTGGAATTTATCGAAGTGTATATAATGTATTATGCTCAGGATGTTCTATAAGTCTGTGGTAGTTCGTGCTATCCTGTATGCTGTGGTGTGCTGGGGCAGCAGGCTGAGGGTAGCTGACACCAACAGACTGATTTACAAGGCCGGTGATGTTGTGGGAGTGAAGCTGGACTCTCTGACGGAGGTGTCAGAGAGGAGGATGCTGCCCAAGCTTCTTGGACTTCCCAGTCATCTAGGACAATGCGTCACACCCACTCCATGATGTGCTGGTCAGCTACAGGAGTACTTTCAGTTCAAGACTTATTGCACCAAGATGCACCACAGAGCACCACAGAAAATCATTCCTGCCTGTGGCCATCAGACTGTACAACTCTTCACTCTGAGTGTCAGACACTCTGAGTGAAAAGGTTTACCGTGGACTTTGCACTGTTTAATATTGTGCTATTACCATTCAATGTGCAACAACACAAATAGTAGTACTATTATTATTACATTTTATATACACGCATAACAGCAAGACTGTATATTTATTTGTGTTGTATGTTTTAGTTTTTATTTTATTTCCATGTTAGTACTTTTCATTTATTATATATCTTTACTTCCTACTTCTTTAAGACTTTTGATTTGGAGTATCTGCAACTGAAAGCAATTTCCCCTACGGGATCGATAAACTATTTCTGATTCTGATTCTGATACAAGCAGGTTGTTTATTAAAAATATGTTGTCATACTGGTTGTCTCTGTTGACCTCGTCCACTGCAGGTGTTGCCAGAGTCTTTGCTCATCACTCTGATGTCATCCACCTCTTTGGTGTTATTAACATCATGGTGCGTATCATCACATTAGTCACAGTTGTTTTATAAAATGTCATGTTTATACTAACAGAATATAGTTTTCGACTGTGAAATAATATAATCATGTATGTGAGAAGAAAAGAAAATGACTACAAATCATTTTAATATCAGGAAGATGTCAACAAAAGGAGCATTTGTTTGACGTTTGAACTACATGAAGGGGGACATTATGGAGCTGCGTCAGTCAGCTGTAAGTAAAGACGACCATTTGGGCAATTTTTATTAAAGACTTTACATTGAAATACTGAATCACGTGAATTTCATATCCTCTCATCAGGTAATGGTGCTGCTTGGCTTGAGGTCTATCACTTCCCATCAGCAGCATGGCTGGAGGAGTTAGAAAGGGCTTCATCACAAAAACAGGTAAGAAATTGTAATTTAACTAGACTTTCCATTAGACATCTCACTGCCTGAAGAGGAGTGCAAAAAGTGCTAAAATTGAAACTTTTTATAATACAGTATAGCTGTTTGTCTTTTTGAAATTTTCTTGCCATTCAACCCCAGTCAAAGGGCACATATATAGCATGCTATTATTTCCTGATTTTCCTCACTTTTTGTCTGTATTATAGACTGACCAAGCTGACAAACATTTTTTCCAGTTTTTCTTCCTTGTTTCTAAAAGAATATATATAATTTAAATACTACCTAACTTATTTGTTCATTTTTTTTATTTACACAGGACCCAAACTCATCTGGAGAAGTGGATGTGAAATGGTCTCCAGTTGCAGTGATGATCAAAATCAAGCCACCCAAAATTCTAGCAGGTATATCTTTAACCACAGCAGAAATGTGTTACAACTACAGTGTGCTATAATTGAACAGAACAGAAATCCGTTGCGTGTGGGTGTGTGTATGCGGAGGTGACGGTGTACATGCAGAGGTTTGTGTGTCTACATGCGTCTCTGTCTGCTGTTGTGTACTGTATCTCTTGTGTTGTGATGAAAACCAGCTCCATCTATTCGTACTGTTGCAAATTGAAGTAAACAAATAAGATGTTCCAAGTTAAGAACGCAGCCGAGTCAATACGCTGCTGCTGTTTTGCAGGACGGCCATTAGATGGTCCACCTGAAGTGTCACAGACAACAGACTATTTGGCACACTGTGTGGCTTTGGACGTTATCATGAACAGCAGTCGTCAGTGGCAGAAGACGTCTTTCAGTAAAGAAACAGCAAAAACAAAGGAAACGTATGAAAGCCCAAGGTGCAGTAAAGTTGCAAATGCAATCAGCATTTCAGAACTCAGCTGCTTTGGTAGTTCTGTTG